AAAAAAAAAAAAAAAAAAAGGACACACAAGAGCAACTAAGAATCTGATCAGATCGAGGCTGTGAAACAGGCAAGGGTGATCTCTGAGAACTGCTTTCTAAAATCTCTTTCATCTTTTTTCTCTTTTATCTTTCATTTATTCTCTGCTCAAGAAATCCTTATTTTGTATTATTTTCTTCCTTGACCATGTACTCAATCAACTGCTAAAAATACCCCAAACCCCCTATAGTTTATAGTTATAACTCACTCAATCCCAGAAATGAATCTGCAATGCCTGAGTTACTATCATGGTAACATATCACATGACATTTTTTGTCAGCGTCCTTTGTCACCTGCTTGTAAGGTTTTGAAAGAGATGGAGAAAGGTAGGTTGAAGGTTCCTCATCAGGAGATTTGCTGTCAAAGCTCATTCTAAATGGAATATGAATTTTACCCTCCAGACATGCCTCAACAACCTTCAGAATTTAACCTTGAGAAAAATGAGGTAACCACTGAGAGTAATGACCCTTTTAGGGAATCTGTGCTCAATTCTGAACTCAATTCAGAGGCCTTGGGGTGGGGCTTGTTTGCACACAGTGGCCACATTAAAAGCCTGGTAAACTTGGCTGGTCTCAGGGATGAGGCTGAGGGCAGAGAGTTGGGCACAACCGTGAGATTTATCTGTCACAATGGGGGAAGACAGACTTCTTCGTTTATGTGTCATGCTACTTCTTCTCCTGCTTTCTGCCAATGACTCAGACTCTGCAGAACCGTAAGTCTCACTCAAGGCCCTTTCTTCCAGAGTGCATTTCAGTCTTTTCCTTATGTCTTCGCTTTGCCTTCCTTTGTAAATGCAACCTTTCCACTCATTAGGATACCTTCCAAACCTAAGAAATTATTTCACTTAATCCCTTGTTTATCTTTCATTTATCCCCTACCCTTGAAATCATTTTCTACATTGGGCCAATCAGAGTCATAAATACAAGTAGTCCCTAGGAAGCATGATTACATAAAACACCGAAAGCTTAGATCCCACCTTAACGGAACTGTCCTTTTGGATGGAAGGCATTGAGTATAAAGGTATTCAAACTGTATAGTGAGGTGCAACTTAACGTGTATTGTAGGCCGTATATATCCAGAAAGTATAGCTCCTTTATTTTTCAACCATGTATCAAGTCTTCAGCAACAGCTCCCAGTGGGGGATCAATGTGGGGGGGTAGTAATTTTAATCCTATGCAGTTATAAGTTGGTAAAATTCAATAACTGTAAGACTTCTTTTCCCCTTCTCCCCAGTTTCTCTTTTCCACAGTGTCTAGAGGCGTGTGGTCTCCATTACCTCCTGATAGAGTAAAATGACAGAGTCCTTGGCCTCAAAGTTCTCCGTCCTTCTTGACGACTGTCAGCCTGACTTCTTCGTACGCTAGCATGCGCTGTTGGAGTTTAGCCATCCGGTTTCTCTCGTGGGGTCAGGACCCCACAGTCCTCTCTGACTGACTCACTCCATCTGTTTCATAACCCATAGAATTCCTGCCTTTCCAATGCATCCTGCCTGCAATATTATGGCTATTTTCTCTACTTCTTGCATACCCACACTGCACTTCTAGATGCCTACCGTGTCTCCTGTATTCCAGATTGATACAGGGAAGTCTTCAGAGTCCCACGTGGGGAAAGGGATAAGGGGTTTCTCTGCCCTGTGCGTTACCCTTATTCATGTAACGCAATGAGCCCTCTTCATGTCAAAGTGCAGAAAGCAGAAATCAGGACTTCCATCCGGTAACTCTCCTGCTCTCCTCAGGCTCTTTCCTTGCACAGTTTCCTGGAAGTCGGAAGGGGCTCATTTCTCCCCCGCTATCCCTCTAGCTCATCTGCAGCTGTGGGCGCTACCACTTCCTGCTTCCAGAAAGCATGTGGGAATACGTGGTGGTTATTTTGCTTTCTGAGAGCAGACTGAATGGATAAAGCCGGTGGTGTGTATTGGGTCAGAAACCTTAAGCAATTTGTGGTTTTGGGCGCAGTCCCATACTGCACAGCACCATGTTACCACTGAAACCAATCTTTCACGTTGTGTCTACCACTGAACAAAGAACAACAAGCCTCATGCCCTACTTATCACAAGCAGAAGGGGTGTAGGGAGAAAACTTAACCT